GCAGCAGCTGCTGCTGCTGCGGCAGCAGCTGCCATGTTTGTGCAGCGGCGCCACTTCGTTGCTGTGGTGTCGGCAGCAAACTCCAGGGTCTCTGCTGCTATAGCAGCAGCAGCTGTTGCTGCTGCTGCTGCTGAATCAAGATTTGCCTCGGCCTTCCATCGCCGCTTCGCAAGTAGCAGCAGCAGCAGCGACAGCAGCAGCAGCAACAGCGGCAGCAGCAGCAGCAGCAGCACGAACAAGGCTACTTGTGCGTGTGGGTTGCAGCCTGCTGCTCCTGTTGCTGCTGCTGCTGCTGCTGCTGCTGGCTTCTGCGGGTTTAAGGGCAGCGGCGTGAAGTGGGGGGAAATAGAATTCCTCAGCAGCAGAAGCAGCAAACCGGGGGGGCAGAGCAGCAACTGCAGCAGCAGCAAAGTGCAGCTGCGGCTCGAAATAAGGAAGCAGTCGTGGCTGTGTCTGCTGCTGCAGCAGCTGCTGCTGCAGCAGCAAAAGCACACCGTCACAGCAGCAGGGGTGCTGCTGCTGCACTGCCAAGACACCGCGTCGCAGCAGCAGAACAAAGCCAGGGTCAAGCAGCAGCTGCTGCTTCTGCTGCAGCAGCTGCTGCAGCAGCAGCAGCAGAAGCAGCAGCACATCCCCATCGAGCAAAGAAAAACTATTCAAGAAAAAAGAGAAAGAAGAAATAAACTCTTCGAAGAAAAAAGGAGAAACGCTTACCACAGAAAATGGTTCTAAACCCTAAACCCTAAACCCTAAACCCTAAACCCTAAGCAGGCAAGACCGGCTCCGGGCGCCAGCGCCTCGCTGCAAAACCCTAAACCCTAAACCCTAGAGCGGCGAAAGCTCTTTGCTTCCAGACGTCATTAACCCCAATCGACGCACAATAAAGGACGTCTAGGGTTTAGGGTTTAGTGAGTGGGACGTCTAGGGTTTAGGGTTTAGGGTTTAGTGAGTGGGAACAAAGAGCCTCCAAGTCCCACCTCTAACTCCCCATTCCTGAAGCAACTCTTTACTTTTATTTGTTTATTTACTTCTAAATAATTTATTATTTATTTATTTATTTACTATTTATTTATTTATTTATTTGTTAATTTATTTATTTATAATTATATATTATGTTCATTTGAGTTAAGGGGAGACCGACAGAAGTTCAAACCGAGAAAACGGCAGACACACCATGCCGCAGCTGCAGCTGCTGCTGCTGCTGCTGCTA